AAAATTTTACTACTAACAGATACAAAAGTGGGTGGTAGGTATAAATTGACTACCCCCGATCTAATGTGTTAAAGGGAAGTACTGTATAGCAAAATTCCATCTAATTTTTTAAAGTCTGCCTTCTAACTAAAATCCATGAAAATATTTCTCTATATATCTTGCTGTAGCATCTTTTTTTTTTACACTAATTGACTCACTAACAATTCTGTTTCTAACTAAGTGTTCGGGCTGGGCTGAAAATAGGATGGTTCTTTTATTAGATCAATTCCTCACAATCTACAGAAAAGGAATTAAATTTTGTTCAGTTTCGTCACCATTCAAAAGCACCATGTTTGAACTTAGCCTGATGATTTATTTACTTTTCTTTTTTGGCTCTGTTTTTTTGATGAAAACGTTTGACTAGCATTCTTGGACCTGAAGCTATAAATAAAGGAAACTTTAAATCTTCCAGATGAAGGCCATGGCAAACCACCCTCATGGTGCCAAGAAATTGCATGGACATCTTCATGATATCATCAGGATTCGAACTCAACTCAGCAAAGAAGTTTATTTTTTTCCTACTTCTGCAACCCCCTTGAGTGATTTGTAAGTGGGTCTGTGAGAAATTTCATTTAATTATCAAGGAATTATGATTCAAGGAATAATTAATTATTATACCACTGAGTTTCTACCTCCCATTTAGGTCAACAGGTCTTTTCCTCTCTTGCAACCATGCTAACAAGCTGAGGTAAACTTACCTGAACTGCATTTGGCTGAGCAAACTAAACTAGATTTCTTTAGAGCTGCTATGGGTTGGCAAAGGCTGGTTGTACTTCAACTTTGCAGGCCTAATTTTTCAAGACAAACTCACTGCCAAACTGCCTCTAAAATTCACTTTTGGCCTCTCTTTCCCCATAGCTCCACTCACATTTCCTCCTTCCCTACTCCCCCCACAAAAAGGGGAGGAACTTTCCCATGGCTAACCACTCCCATCTCCCCATGGATTCTCTTTCAAAGGCCCTGCTCCCCCACAAGTGGGGAGATGCTGCAAAGCAGGAACAGCCCTAGGGAGAGTCAACAAAGGCCTCAGGGATTGAAGCCCCGCCCCTTATTTACATATGGGTTAAAGGTGGGGCTGGCTGCCATCTTGACTGACCTGCCTTGGGAATCCCTTTCGAGGCTTCGTTGGGCTAGATCAGTGGCTCTCCATTTAGAGTTTGTGAAGTCAAATATGGATTTTAAATATAATTATGTATATAGACATTAAATGTGTTTTATGACAGATTTTCACACTTACGACCATTGCACACCCCCATGATCACATGATCAACATTCAATCACTTGGCAATTGGCTCGTATTCATGACGGTTTCAGCGTCCCTATTTTCTCAACCTATCCTCATGCGTTGCTTCCCACCTCATTCTATGGGGTGGAGGCCAGGTGAGCCGGGAGGCCCCACTTCCCTTCTCTGCTCCCTCTTGCCATCTCTCTCCCTCTTGCTCTCCTCCTTCCTGCCAAAACCTCCTCCTTTACGTTCTCTTCTCCCTCTTCCCCCATGGCGCACTTCAAATGGGGCAAAGCCCACTTAATAGCTCCATCACTTGGCAGCAGAATTTTGGGGCTCAATTGTGGTTGGAAATCGAGGACGACCTGTATTAGGTATGTTTTAATAACTCACTTGCACCTTTGCCAAAAGCAACCTGTCAATCTTCAGTTGTTGAGATGCTTTGAGATGTTCCAGAGAAGTGCTGTTAGCATTCCAGGTCAACATTTCAGAGTTAAGTTTTGCTCACTTTGTTTATCTGTATGCTACTTTATTATTTTTGCAAATAATTCAAGGCGGCAAACATGTGCAACATATCTTCTTCCTCCAATTTTCTCCACAAGAACAACTCTGTGAGGTGGATTGGACGGAGAATGACTGCTCAGTCACCCACCTGACTTTCATGGCTAAGGTAGGACTTGAACTCACCCTTCCTCTTCCTACCCTGGCGCCTGAACCACTAGATGAAACTGGATCTGATGCCCATCTCAATATCGAAGCCACTTTTGGGCTGCCTCCAATTGTTGACCCCTGGTGGCTACCTAGACAATCCTCCCTGCAGTTTTCTTGCTAAAGGTTCAGGAGTGGCTTGCCATTGCCTGCCTCCTTGGGCTGACTGAGAGTGACTGGTCCTAAGATCGCCCAGCTGGCTTTGGGCCTAAGGCAGGATTAGAACTCATGGCCTCTAGCTTGATTTCTTTTCTTTTTTTTAAACAACAATTTTATTGAATTTCAAAGACAATACACAAAAACAAACAAAACATAAAATATAAAAACATAAAACATCTTTTCTGAAAGCTGCTTGATCCTAGGTTACAACTCTTCGTACAGACACAAATTCAAATTCATATTCATTTTATATACCATTCCATATCTTATTACCATTTTCAATTTTCTATATAACTTCTCACCTCTTTTAACTTTCTTAGTTTTATTTTATTTATCTCATCTCAGTTCAAATCATAATACTTATTATTCTTTGTCTGTTCTATTTCCAGCTATCCATTTATCTTTTCTCTTTAAACAAAACTTCTCCTGTACACTGATTGGAGTATGACGCCTTTAACTCTTTCCCCTAAATTTATAATACTTAATATAATACATAACTTGCATTGGGGTTCTGTTTAGTACATTCTAAAATTACACAATGTTTTTTATAGGAAAAAAAAATTATAGGTATATGATGTAATTAAAACAACTATTAATGCCAATACAGATCTAATCATTAATATTAATATTCATTTATATCTTAAACACTTTACAAGTTACTTTTCAATTAAATATCATACTTTTATGAGAACACTTATACTTTCCATAATTATTTCCCCCCCACATCACATATTTTAAATCATTATTTCATTAAAATGTTCCCATTTCTCCTACTTCAATTCTCTCATTTGTTTCATTGCCTTCTTTTTCTTCACAAAAATTTCACTAAATTACACTAAATATTTTATCCCATTTTTGATTACATGTTGTTTCCAATTTTCTAATATTATTTCTAACTACAAATATAAGAATACAATCTTGTGTACCTTTGCAGAATCCCTTTTTCAATTAAGTTTACCTATTGTCTCTAAAAGAATTTTGTTTCTTTACATCTTGCTCCCCACCATTGAGGCTTCTCATCCCTTCCATTCTCCCTTGCTTATTCTTCTCCTTTCCCTTTTTACCCCCTTGTCTCTCCACCTCCCTTTTCTTCTTCTGCTTTCCCCCTTTCTGTTGTTTTCTAACATTGTATCCACTTTTCACCTTATTTTTCTCTTTTTGGGTTGTTTTTTCAAATCTTAAAATCCCCTTTTTCTTTTCCTCTTTCTCCTTTCCTTCCCCAAATAGAGTCACTTGTTCATCAAAGATGGCTTCTTCTTTATCCCATTCATCCTGTTGCGCAGTCAGCTTTTCATAAGTACAAACCGCCATTTCTAAAAATCGAAAAAGAGTGCCAAGAGAATCTTTCCCTTCTTGTTCTTCTTTTTTGTATTTTTGGTATTCAATTTTCAATTCAGCCACAAGTGATGCCATTGTAGAGAGAAAAAGTTTTTCCAAAAACAACCACCCAAGTGCTTTTAATCAAAGATAGTTCCCAAAAGTTCCAAAATCACCAAACAATCCAAATAAGCTGTTTCTTTTAGTACTTTCTTCTTTCTTCCCTTTCTCTTTCTGGGGTTACTGTTTAGTCACAAAGTTCCAGTTAAAATGTATCTTTTAGAAGTCTTGTTAATATTTAATAGCTCTTTAAAATTCTAGGCAATCTCCTCCTTACTTTCAAGTTCTGCTCCAATTTTTTTTCCTCTCCCTTCCCACTTACAGCAAAAAAGATTTTTTTTTAAAATGTTCAGAAATCCTTATCCCTTTAGCATTTAGTTACCTCCAATGCGGGTTTTCCGATTTCTCTTGCGGTTCTATTGACTGTCACGTTAGGAAGGAGAGTGAAAAGAAAGAAAAACTTTCCCTTTTAAATTTCCATTCTCCGCTTGTAAATCTCTGGAAAAGATGTATCTTTGGCAAATTTTAAATTCCAGGGTACTTTCACTGTTACTTTATCCCGGTCAGCAAAAAACACTTTCACTTCTTTACAGCTCCTCCTGCACTTTCTTTTTCCGGCTGAGCGCTTCTATGTGGCAGCCATTTCTGGCCGCCGCTCAGCTGCCTTTGGAAAAGGCGGTTTAGTCGGCTAGGGAAGAGAGGTGCGATATCTCTCGACCCTGCCAGGTCCCCCCTGTCTTCGCCACCTTCTACGGAGGTGGCTAGCCCTGAAGCCGGGTGGCTCAGGGCACTCGAGCCGTGAACACAGGTAGAAACCGCGCACAGTCGCGGATTCCTGCCTGCCCCGAAGCGCTGCAGACCGGAACTCCCTAGCTTGATTTCTTAACCACCACACTAGATTGGCTTCTTCTTTTACAATTGCTCAATAAAAGGCAGAGTGGCTTAAAGCAAGAAGGAAAAAGAGTATTATTTGGCATCTTGTCAAATAATGTATTTATTTAACAATGAATTTCATTTTTATTTGGCCAAGTGTGATCAGACACAATCCATGAGACACCTATAAAATTACAATCAGTCTTACAATCAGTAATCCGATTGTTGTAGATAACTTATGTAGGTATAAAAAGACAGGAAAAGGACTAGGATTGGTAGGAAAAAAACCTCTATGAGACTATAAAGCTTGTATTGAGTGGAATACTTGCTGAAGCCCTGCTAGGATCTGTTGGATTGTGACAATTATGTGTTAAAAGGAAACAGGAAAAAAAAGGGGGGGAAGGAAAGAAAAGAAGTTAAAGATTACAGAATATACCGAGTTATGGACACCTACGCAATAATTGATTGCAATTAGCATGAAACAAACAAGCATGATCCATAAATGGGATGAAGAGCTGTGACAGACATATAAAATCATGACTGACAGGCCTAGCTCGTATCTTTAATACTGGTATCTTTAATACTGATATCTTTAATACTGATATTTAATACTAGGTATCTTTAATACTGATACACCTAAACACATGATGCTAACACCTATAAAGCTCCTAGGACACCTCTTTTTTTATCCAGACAAATAGAAATGATGATCAGATTCTTTCTTGATAGATTGATTGACTGATCATAGAACAATAAAGGAAGCTGAAGTAGCAAAAAGCGAAAAAAACCTCTGCTTTAAAATCTTTCAGAGATCCCTGCTTGGCAAATAGGGATTTTTCCAAAGTTTTGTCTATGGTTATCCACTCTTTTAGGGGAGTGTCATGCAGGTGCCCTCGCCCAAAAAGAAATAGGGCCAAAAGGTCTCTCCAACCAAGGAAGCATCCAAGAATATATGGAGCAGAGCTGCTGTCCTGACATCATAAAAGGACACTTGCCCCCTTTCGCAGTTGAGAAAGATACGGATCCTCGTGAGCTCTTCAGTCAGGACCAGGTCAGAGTATGTTGATGGAGAGATGGCCATGTATTTCCCTTTACATTCCGCAATCTCCCAGTGACTAGTCTGCTCATCGACATTTTTTATATTCCTTGGCTTACTGGCAACCCCTATAGCCCATTCTGCTGCACCTCCTATAATAACTTCCCAGAAATGTCTCCCAGTTGAGAACTTCTCACAGCCAAGGACACAAGGATAACGTACAAATCTGTTGCAGTCTGAGACAGCATATTTTCCTTCAACTGGCTTAAGTCCTTTGACGCTTTTGCGATCTTTGGAGATTTCAAGGCGGCCAAGATTAGCTGTGCCTGGATCCAGAGTTACATTCTCTGTAAGGGGGAAGGAAAGGAAGGAAGGAAGAAGAACAACAGCTTCAGCTGAAGGCTTTGTGGGTGTGTTCACCCTCAAGAGCTTAACCCTTCGGCCTCTAGTGTGAATGGAGTTCAGCTTCCAAACAGCCCCTTCAAGACTGGAAGACTGATTGTTTTTTTAAACAACTCCTAAGCATTGCCTGGTCCAGGGTTCTTCAACTATGGCAATTGTAAGAGTTGTGAACATCAACTCCCAGTATTCCCCTGATGGAGCTGCTAGTGTCCAGATCCCCTCTGCACTCTTTTCTCCAAGCACTTGGGCTCTCCCACTCACTTAGTCCCATCCTCTGTTAACTACCGGCCTGTTCAGCACTTCTCTGGTTTTCTCTTTCCATTCACTTAGATTGCTTTCACCATCTTCCAGTCTATCTGCCTCCCTTCAGCTGCCACTCAGGTGCACGGCCACAGGATCCATTGCTTAACTGTACCGCTCTTGGCTCCACTTCTCAGCTGTTTGTCTCTTGGCTCCTCTGGTCAGTTCCCCTGGTCTCTAGTCTCCCATGTGGCTGCCACCCTGCTGATTGTCCTCCACCCCCCCGCCATGCTGGATAGAGAATTCTGGGAACTGAAGTCCATAAGTCTTAGAGTGGCCAAGGTTGGAGACGCCCTGGACAAGTCCTTCAAACCCTTCCTAGTGCTCCATTTCTTCTTGCCTCCCTGCACAATTTTCTTTAGCTTCCATCTTGCAGATGAGATTAATAGGACTGGGAGTGAAGAGTAGCTGGCTTTACCTCCAGTGATTTGCTGGGAGGGCCAAGGTTGAACAGGGACTCTGCCTGGAGCATTAATCCAGAGGATAAGGCAAAGCAAGAGGCTGCCACGTTTCAATTCTGAACTGACAGAGTCAGAAGGATCCCCCAGAGGTAACTTGGGACACACAATGGGATGTGAGGAAGCTCCACCCTTTTCTCTAAGAGCATCAGGGTATCACAGGCATGTACAAAAGGGGAGGATCTTGCCCAGGAAACCTCTGCTTCCATCAGTCTGATGGTCCACAAGATGGAGGCAACCCTGATGCTCCAACTTTGCTATTTGCTTTGACCCAAAGGACCTAATTTCTCTGCTCCCAAAATCCTGGTCTCTCACCAACTTATAGTCAAGGCAATAAAATCAACAGGATTTACGGTATTAGCTTGGCAGGAATTCTATGTTCCTTTCAGTCCCAGGTCACATTTTCCCATTTGCCCATATATTTCATTCTACACCAAGATTGATTTCAGTTTTCTAGATTATGTATAGAACAGAACAGGACAGAACAGAACAACAGCTTTATTTGGCCAGTGTGTATCAGACACACAAGGAATTTGTCTCCACTGCATAAGTTCATATTGTACATATTAATGAAAGTAGTAGTTCATAAATCATAAAATCATTAAAGTTTACTGGATCACCGTAGTCTTTAAGATACCTAATCTTATATTGTTCTTTTTTGTTCCTCTATCATGTTTCTCTTCAAGTTACTGGCATCAGAGCTTAAAATAGCAAGCAGTTGCAATTCCTATAACTCATACTTACCTTCCTGTAGTTGAAGTCCACTTTCCAGAGTATCTGGGGAAGAAAAGGGAGGGATTCAGCACCTCATCACTGGAATTGGAGCAACAGAAGGGCCTCCCTATAGATAGTCTTGCTTTCCTTGGACTCAAATAAGGAAATAAGGAATATGGAAAGCTACAAGCCAGAACGTCACTGGTGGCTAAATATATTCCATCAGGTATAAGGTAAAGCAGCACTGACAAAAATGATTTATGACCAGTTCCCACACTTTCGATTGTTGCAGCCTCCCTAGTCACATGATTGAAATTCAAGCACTGGGAACCAGCATGTATTTACAATGGTTGCAGCCTCCCTTGGTTCTGGGATTGTCCTCTTTAACCTTCCTGGGAAGGTTCTGACAAGCAAAGTCAATGGGGGAAGATTCCAGATTCATTTATCAACCATGATTCACTTTATGACCCTGATTTTCTGAATAACTCTGGCAAAAAAGTTCATAAAATGAGGCACAGCTCACTTAACAACTGCCTTGCTTAGCAACAGAAATTTTCAAGTCAATTTTCAAGTTGTAAGTCAAGAACTACCTGTATATATTCCATTATACTTAGTGGAAGCTTATTCGGCTTGCCCAGTTATCAGTGCACATAGATGTCAGATATAAAGAATACAGGTAGTCCTCGTCTTACAATCACAACAGAGCCAACAATTTATGTTGCTAAGTGAGAAATTTGGCTTCCCCATTCACTCTGCTTGTCAGTAGGTCACAAAAGATGATCACTGCAACCGTCATAAATATGAACCCGTTGTCAAGCATCCAAAAGTAAATCACGTGGGTTCTGGGGATGATACAAGGGTCATAAGTGTGAAAAATTGTCATGTCACTTTTTTCACTGCCATTATAACTCAACGGCACTAAGTGAAGTGTTTTAACTTGAGAATTCCTTGGAAATGGTCAACTATAAGTAGCTAATGGTTCCCGTTTTCAGGTAGCACATAGACTATCATGTTTACCGATCAGATCGTGAAATCTGTAGAGGTGGTGTTGCTATCTTCTATAAGAAGTCCCTACATTTTAAAAAACATTCAAGTTACCCAGGAGCTTGCTTTTCCTGAGACCATCATTTGTGAACTGTCCTTAAATATCACATTTCAGTTCTTACTATGTTACAGAGCCCCTGATTATGACATCGAACATGCAAACAAGCTAAATACACTACTAACATGGACAGCATCCTGCCCACACGCTTTCATCTTTCTTGGTGACTTCAATCTACCTCATATTAACTGGACCCTTAACGAATGTACAACTGAACCCACACATGCAATCTTCTACAATGCTGTAACAAATCTGGGACTAGAACAACTAGTAACCAACAACACTAGACTAAACAACTGCCTCGATCTCATCTTCTGCAATATTTTGAATTCAATTTACGGAATACAAATTAAAGAACCCTTTTCCAACAGTGACTACAACATGATTGACTTTTGTCTCAACTTACGTCCACACAAAAAATCATCACAATGATGGAATCCCCAATTATAACTTCAATAAAGGCAACTATGATCTTGTAACGATCTCTCATTCCTTGATTGGCAAGCTCTATTCACTGGATGCAATACTGTTGAAGACCATTACAACATATTTTTACTTGAAGTCAAAAGAGTCATCAAACTATATGTACCAATAACAACTCCCAAAACCAGAAAAAACAAATTACCCATAACAGAAGCTTCAATCCAAAAAGAAATCACTTTGGCAGAAAAACAAATCTGGTCACGTTGCCAACTTCAAAAGTCGATACAAAAATTTATGCCACCAGATAAAGACTGAATGCACCAATTATCACATTAAACAAGAGGAAAACCTATTACGCATCAATTTTACCTGCGCTTTCTACAATTTTGTAAACAACAAACTAAAAGACTCAAGGTCCATCCCACCCCTGAAAGGACCAAATGGTAAAGACTGCAACGAAGACACCATTAAAGCCAACCTCTTTAACACATTCTTTGGCTCAGTACTTGTAAACAGCAATGGATCATGCCCAGTATTTCCTAGTCAAATCACAGACAACTACAATGATCCAATATCGATTTCACAGAAGACAATGTTGAAAAAGCAGTACGCAATCTAAAACCATCTCTATCTATTGGACCGGACGGAATATGTGCCTACTTCTTAAAAAAGCTATCCAATGCCATAGCCAAACCTCTAAGCATAATCTTTGAAAAATCTTTCAGGACCAGCTCCTTGCCAAAACTATGGTCACAAGCCACGGTCATCCCCATCTTCAAAAAGGGAGACCCAAGCCTGGTTGAAAATTACAGACCAATCTCCTTATGCTGCGTCACCTGTAAAGTCATGGAATCAATTATTAACCAATCCATCATTCTCCACTTAGAGACAAACAACCTACTCTCTAATAAACAATTTGGTTTCCGAAAAAAACTATCCTGTAATCTGCAACTCTTACGCTGCAGAAATATATGGACTACACAACTCGATCAGGGCAAAGCAATACACGCAATCTACATAGACTTCTGTAAAGCCTTTGATTCAGTGGTACACGACAAACTACTCCTAAAACTAAAATCTTATGGTATCTCTGGACACCTGCATAACTGGATAGAAGCATTCCTGTCAAACAGACAACAAATGGTCAAAATTGGGAGCGTCCTATCAAATTCTGTACCTGTCAACAGTGGTGTCCCCCAAGGCAGTGTTCTAGGACCAACTCTCTTCATACTCTACATAAATGATCTCTGTGTTCATATTAAGAGCAACTGTGTTCTCTTTGCTGATGATGTAAAGCTATTCGACACCATGGACAATACTGCTACCCTTCAAAAAGACCTCGACTATGTATCAGAATGGTCAAACAAATGGCAACTTCAAATCTCAACAAATAAATGCTCTGTCTTACATATTGGCAAAAAAAATCAGAAAATAAAATACAAGCTAAATAGTCAAGAACTTGTTGATGATCCAAACTCTGTCAAGGACCTTGGAGTACTCATCTCTAATGATCTTAAGTGCTAGAGCCCACTGTAACTACACAGCCAAAAAGGCATTAAGAGTTGTTAACCTAATCCTGCGTAGCTTTTTCTCTGGTAATACCACACTACTAACTAGGGCATACAAAACATTTGCTAGAACAATACTTGAATACAGCTCATCAGTCTGGACCCCATGTATCTGATATTAACACAGATGAGAAAGTCCAGAAATATTTCACAAGAAGAGTTCTCTACTCCTCTACTCGTTGCAGAATACCTTATGCCACCGGACTTGAAATTCTAGACCTAAAAAACCTAGAACTATGCCGCCTTCGGTCTGATCTAAGTATAGTATATAAAATCATACATTGCAATGTCCTACCTGTCAATAAATACTTCAGCTTCAACCATAACAATACAAGAGCACACAATAGATACAAACTCAAGGTAAAACGCACCAAACTTGATTGCAGGAAATACGACTTCAGCAACAGAGTGGTCAATGTCTAGAATACTCTACCTGACTCTGTGGTTTCTTCCCCAAACCCCAAAAACTTTAACCTTAGTCTGTCTACTATTGACCTCACCCCTTTCCTAAGAGGTCTGTAGTGGGTGTGCATAAGCGCACCAATGTGCCTACCGTCCCTGTCCTATTGATTCTTTTTGTTTTTCTTATATGTATCCATGTCATGTATTCATAACTATGCTTATACTTATACCTGTAATCTTATAATTGCTTGACAAAACAAACAAACAAACAAACAAACAGAGACCAAAAAGCTTCTCTTCCCCTCCTGGTGCCAAGACACAAGGCTTTTCCCCAGAGAAATGAGGGTGTCTCTTTCGCTGATCCTGAAATCGATCCCTCTTTGATCCATGTGACACCGCCTCGAATCTCTCTTGGATGCTCAAAATGTCACCCAGGATAAAAACCCAGCAGCTGTTTTTTTACCTCTCAATTTTTTCATGGCACTTTTCAGAAGCACAGGGATATCACTGTAATCCCAGATGGTAATCCCATTTTGGCTCCCACTGTAATCCCATTTTGGCTCTGGAAGTAAATCCACCGGATTCTCGTATGTTTCCTTAGCCTGGAATCTGGCAAGACAAAAGAACAGAATAACAGAGTTGGAAGGTCATCTAGTCCAGCCTCCCTACAACTGCCCAAGCAGGAGACCCGACACCGTTTCTGACAGATGGCAGTCCAGCCTCTTCTTGAAAGCTTCGTGATGAAGCTCCCACAACATCTGAAGGCAAAGCTGTTTCATTGGTTCATTGTTCTCATTGTCAGAAAATGTCTCCTTATTTCTAGGTTGAATGTCTGCTTGATCAGCTTCCATCCATTATTCCTTGTCTGGCCTTCAAGTGCTTTGGAAAACAGGTTGACCCCCTCCTCCCACTGTGGCAGCCCCTCAAATACTGGAACACTGCTATCGTGTCTCCCCTGGTCCTTCTCTTCACTAGACTAGCCATGCCCAGGTCCTGTAACCATTATCAACTTGACAATAGAAGCAGCTTCCTAAAGCATCAGACGGTGCTTGAGGATTGGATAGCTATAGGATCCAACCTTGGTTGGTCACCAGAGGTTTGTCTTCTGAGCTTTCAGACTTGTGCTGGAGCCCACCCTCAGGGAACTTCTCTCTCTCTCTCCTGAATGTGTGCACTGGGCTGTTCTACGCATTGTATTTATGTGGTGCCTGGTTGTGTGTGGCTTTCACTGGTTAAGTGGGGTGTTGATGGCCACCTATTAAGTCATTGATTGACATTTCCTTGTGTGGCTCCATCTTCCTCTCCTAACTACTGGTGGTAAGCTGGTGGTAAAGCAGCACTCCTGTTGACTGACAATAGCCCCCATTTCCCAGGCTTCAATCAATTCTCTGGCTAGCTATTCAAATATGGGCACCATGGCAACCCAGCGGTTCCTGATCCAGAACTGCACTCATCCACCTTCATCAAGCTAAGCAAGAGATTTAGGAGAGGCCACTAAGTTTCAGTTTGGGGCTCCCTACTCTTGAAAATTCTTGTGGATCTCTTGGTGAAAAAAAATGGATTGTATCTTACCAAATGACGGATGTCTATTTAATTAGAAAATGGATATAACATTCAAACTGATCTTGGTGGATTAAAGGTAATGCAATGAAATTTAATAGAAACAAATGCAGTTACAAGTAACCTTCAATTTATGACGATTTGTTAGCAACCAGTTACAACGGCTCTCAAAAAACGGACTTATAACCATTTTCACACTTAACATCTTCATAGTGTCCCTGTAATCACAATTCGGGTACTTGGCAACCAGCATATATTTATGATAGTTGCATTACTTGGAACAACTTACATCCTGTAATGATACCTTTAAAACCATCTAACATATGTCTCCTCTTGAATAGGACTCAATAAGTGGATAAAAATGCCAAATTCAGTCTAAAGATCTGGCTGAGTGTCTCACAGACCATAACAATATACCATATCAAATACTGCTAATTATGTCATGTTGAGGTTGCCTAAGGAAATATCTACAAAGCTCTGAAATACATACATGATCTTTAAATTATATCCTATGATAACATTAACACCATCAAACATCTGTAAAAATCTAATAAAAAGCCGAATTCAATCTAAACATCTGGCTGAGTGTGCAACCAACTATTGATCATATCAAATATTGCTAATTATATTGTGTTGGAAGTTATCTGAGGAAGTATCTAAAAAGCCCTGAAATACAGTATGTTATCTTTACATTAAAATACTGCTGAATACAAACAGAACTTTCCAAAATAGGAAAACTTCTGGAGGATCTGCTGATCTCTGAGACTGTAAAGAAAAGGGTAGATTTACTTACTTCTTCAAGATGCTTCCAATGTCCTAAAAAATAAAGAGATGAAGCATTGAAAGGAGCCATTTCTTATACAGAAAATTACCGGTAAATGCTAAACATTCACAAAATATAAAGATGTGTGTGTGTGTGTGTGTGTGTGTGTGTGTGTAGATGTAGATGTAGATGTAGATGTAGATGTAGATGTAGATGTAGATATATGGTATTCAGCTTTGTTCGGGTATTTTCCCACGTCATTATAGTTGTGCTTTTAAAGTTGTAGCAACGTTTTGGCAGAATTTCATCTGCCATCATCAGGTTTGTGTATTGTGTTCATCTGTCTGACTAAAATATTATTGGAAAAGGAGGTGAATTACAGATGGTTGATTCCAGAAGGATTAATGGTTACATGGAAAGAACAGAGATACAGAATTGGCTCAATTGATGAAGCAGAAACGTTTTATAATGAATTCTTTAAAATAAGAGAAATAGACATAGAAAAAGAGATTACTCCAACTGAATTTCAAGAGGACCAAATAGAGATGGGAAAAGAAGAAGGTGCAGTAGGTGGACGAGTGGAGACTAAAGAACAACGTGAAGTAAGATCAACGAGAGCTGTTAGACCTAAATATAAATCATAACTATGGAGGAAAAAAAATTGATTTCTTTGAATATAAATGGACTGAATTCAGCTATTAAAAGAAGGAAAACCTTTCATAAAATAGAGAAATTAAAATTTGACATAATTTGCTTACAAGAAGTACACATTAAAAAACAACATCAACATTTATTGGTGCGACCAAAAATAGGGAAATTTTTTACTTCTTTGACTCACTGTAAGAAAAGAGGAGTGGTTTTGTATATTAAAGAAACTATCCCAGCAAAACTGATTTACAAGGATGAAGATGGAAGAGTATTAATGGTTGAAATAGTGGACAACAATACAAAAATACTCCTGGTTGCAATCTACGCTCCGAATGATAAACAAAAAAGATTTTATAAAAAATTGCACATGAAAATAATTGAATTGGACTATGCTAATATATTTATAATGGGAGATTTTAATGGAATTGTAGACAATGAACTGGACTATACAGCAAAAATAACACGACAAAATAGGAAGACCCTCCCTAAATCCTTTTTTGAAATGATAGAGGAACTAAATTTAAAAGATATATGGAGGGAAAGAAATACTAAAACTCAACAATATACTTTCTATTCGAATAGACATTCATCATGGTCCAGAATAGATATGATTTGGACGTCAACAGAATTATTATCCAATATTCAAGAAATAAATATTGAAACAAGTACATGGGCAGACCATAATCCAATGACAATTAAATGGAAAGGACAAAAAAGAAGATCTAGATGGACATTAAATAATACTATTTTAAAGGAAAAAGACTTTACACAATGGATGGAAAAAGAACTGGCCTTCTTTTTTAAGGAAAACAGAAAAGAAGATACTTCAATTCAGAACGTTTGGGACAAAATGAAGGCATATGTAAGAGGATTGATAATGGATTATACAAAGAAAAAGAATATTAGGAAGAGGCAAATGATTAAAACTTTAGAAGATGACTATAAAAAACTGGAAAAAGAATTACAGAGAACGCCACAGAAAAAAGATATTAAATTTAAAATGGACATAATCAAACATAAAATGGATCAAACAGAGAAAGAAGAATTGGCGCAAAAAATCAGAAGCGCTAAACAGAACTACTTTGAGGATGCAAACAGGCCAGGTAGATGGTTAGCATACAAACTGAGAAAAGAGAAAGAATCAAGGAAAATACTACAGTTAATGGACGAACAAGGTCAAGTTTGTCATGGTAATAAGGAGAAAAAGAGAATTATTCGAGACTTTTATGCACAATTATATATGCAGGAGGATTTTGATGAGGGGAAAATCAAACAGTATTTACAAAATGCTAACCTACCTAAGATACCTGATGAAACTGGGAAAATGTTAGAAAATCCTATAACAATGATGGAATTAACTGAAGCACTTAATAGGCAGAATAACGGGAAAGCACCAGGACCAGATGGTTTCCCGGTAGAATTTTATAAAACATTACAAGAATCGTTGAGTATTTTATTGTTAGAAATTATGAATGAAGCTATGATAAATAAGAAAATACCTAAAATGGTCAGAAGCTTATATTACGCTTATCCCAAAAGAAGGGGCTGACCCATTACAAATTAAGAACTATAGACCTATTTCTTTATTGAATGCAGATTATAAAATATTAGCTTCAATTTTGGTAGAAAGGCTTAAAAAATACCTAAATAATTTTATCCATCCTGATCAGAATGGATTTCTACCAAAGAGACAAATTAAAGATAACATGAGAGTAATTTTGGACACTTTGGAATACTATGAGGCACACCCTGAAAAACAAATGGCTTTGATATTCTTAGATGCCCAAAAGGCATTTGATAACGTGAATTGGAGATTTATGTTATTATTATTGGAACAGATGGGCTTTGCTAGAAAATTTATTCAAGCAATAGAAGCCATATATTACAAGCAAACAGCAAAAGTGATGATAGACGGAGAATTTACAGACTCTATCAATATTAAAAAAGGCACAAGACAAGGATGTCCATTATCCCCTTTGTTATTTGTATTGACTTTGGAAGTGTTAAATAGAAATATTAGAGAGGATACAAATATAAAAGGAATGAAAGTTAAAAAGGAGGAATTTAAATTGCAAGCCTTTGCGGACGACTTGGTCTTTATTTTGGAAGACCCTCTAGAGACAGCTTTAAAATTATTGGAAAAGATAGAGACGTATGGTGAGATGGCTGGCTTGAAAATAAATAAAGACAAAACAAAGATTCTGACAAAAAATATGTTATTAAGGCAAAGAGAAGAGTTGGCAGATCTATTGAAAATTCAAGTTACGAATAAAGTTAAATACTTGGGGATATTTTTGACGTCAAGATGTATTACACTGAAAGAGAATAACTGTATTAAACTTAAACAGCAGATAGCATCTGACTTGAAAAAATGGGAAAACCTACAATTATCTTTGATAGGTAGAATTTCAACAATCAAAATGAATATTTTACCCAGAATTTTATATTTGTTTCAAACAATACCAATTAAATTAGGTAAGGATTATTTTGAAGAATTAAATAAAATTGTGTTGAAGTATATATGGCAAGGTAAGAAAGCGAGAATAAAATTAAAACTTTTACAGGATGCTAGAACTAGAGGAGGATTTGGCCTTCCTAATTGGGAGTTGTATTATCAAGCTGCAAACAATGTGGGCTAAAGAATGGATAACGTTAAGAAAGTCTAGATTACTGGCATTAGAAGGACATGATTTACTATTGGGTTGGCATGCTTTTTTATGGTATAAGGGAACTAAATCACAGGGTTATTTCAGAAGGCACTATATACGGGAATCGTTATGGTTGAATTGGGAGAAAATTAAAAAACAATGTTATTTGAAAATACCAGTTTGGTTATCAACTATCGAAGCTTTTTCCTATCCTATAATTTATAAGAAGGAACAAACAGTTAGATATGGGGAAATATTGGATGAAAAGGGTGAACTTAAAACGATGCAAAAGCTAGAAGAACAAGATATAAAGATGAATTGGTTTTCATATGCGCAAATACACTCAAGGTATCTTAAAGATTCTAAAACAGAAGGATTTTATGATAAATTGACTGATTTAGATAGGATCCTGACAGGTTCTGATGAAAAAGTGATTAAAAAACTATATAGTTATTTGTTGGAAATTAAATTAGAGGAAGAACAAGTCAAAGAAACAATGATTGTTTGGGGGAAGAACTTTGGATATGGGATTGATTTAGAGAAATGGCAAAAATTGTGGTCTCAAAATTATAAAATGACAATGTCAGTAGCATATAAAGGAAATTTGTATAAGATGTTTTACAGGTGGCATTTTCCCCCGACAAGAATAGCAAGAATGTTCAAGAACAAATCTGAAAAGTGCTGGAAATGTCATCAGATCCCTGGCTCATATTACCATATGTGGTGGACTTGTGAGGAGGCCAGGAAATACTGGACTAGAATTCGCATATGGTTGGAAGAAATGACAAAAGAACATATAGATTTGAAACCAGAGATTTTTCTACTGGGAATCTTACCTGATACATTTAATAAAAACTGAAAGTACTTGATTGTAAATTTGTTAACAGCGGCTAGGATCGTATTTGCTAAAAATTGGAAAAGTGAGAAAATACCATTAGAGGAAGAAATTATTAAGAAAATATTGAATTGTGCTGAAATGAGTAGATTGACATTTGAAATTAGAGAGCAAGAGGATAGACAATTTTATGAAATTTGGGATCTTTTTTACCAATGGTTAGATAATGCAATATAACAATTAAATATTCAGAAACCTAGGAAATAACGAATATATACTTTTTTTTTTCTTTTCTCTCTCTTCTTGGCCTTGATAACGTTTTTAGAATATTTTATTAAGATAGACTTGGTATGATTTTATGATCTGTTATAAAATAAGTTAATTAAATTATAGTTAACTCGTTAAAGTATGAATTACTAAAATCAGTAAATGATTGTTTAATAACGATATTAGGATATACAATTGTTGATTGATAATATGAGTTATTATGTAATATAATTACTATGATGGTTATGAAATGGATGCACAAAAAGGAGTGGTAAACCAACCGATACACTTCCTGTAAATATTTGAAGAATAATGATGGTTTTATGTTATGTCTTATGTTGTATGTGTTTTAGTTTGTTGTTAAAACCAATAAAAACTTTTAAAAAAAATCATCTTCATTTCAGCCCAGCTTGGACACTTAGTTGGGAAAACAATAATTCATTCAGAGTGTCAATGAGTGTAAAAAAGGATGCTACAGCCAGTTATATAGAAATGGGTTCAGTTATTTCATTAGCTAGAATACAGGCTTTAAAAAATTAGGTGATGGAATTTACTATACAGTACTTCCCTTTAATACACTAGATGATAAAATGTTAAACATTCCCAGATTGAAGGTTCCCTGCAACAGAAATATGGAATATTAAAAAGAGATTTA